TCAAATTTGTCACCGCCCATCTCACTGCAGAGTGACTGGGCGGTTTGCAGTAAAAGCAAAATAAACGTTAATGAAAATAGATAAATATCAGTTAATTAAAATATGCTACAATAACAAACGATTTGATAGGAAGTCTAAGAACAGCCATTCGAATAATAGTAGTCGGTAAAAGATCGGCTTTGTCTCGGTCTAGGTCTGCGCTGGGCTTCTAAGCGCGCAGCTCCTGCAGGCAGGAGCGCCCGCGTGGTCAGAAAAGTCAGGATGGCGGCCGCAGACCAAGGGGCGGGGCCTCGATCACCCGGGCGCGGCCGCCATCTTGACTTGCTGACCGCCGTCGTCATTCCAAGGCCTGGAGCGGTCCGTCCCGCGCGCGTGACTGGGAGGCTTGCAGTCTAGAGCAGCCTGACAATGCAACAGTTAAAAGCAATGCAAACGCTAGAAAAGCATATAATAATAATGATCAAAGCCATACAATAATTTCATAAAATGCATAGCCGAAGTACACGTGCAACAATAACACGACGGAGCCCCTGCATTCGCGGGTCCCCCTGCCTGTCGGTAAAACCACGTTTCCGGGGCCTTGCGAAAAGCCAGCAGGGTCGGGGCCCGTCCGAGCTCTGGAAATGATGTGTTGTGTTGTGTTGTGTTGTATTTTGATTTATAAGGCCTCCCAACGCAGACTCTGACTGGGTGATGTAGAACCATAAACACACAATGCTGTAAATCAAAAAGGAGAAAAAAAAGATCTAACCGCAAACAAACAATGTATAAATACAAAACGTAAAATAAATCTAAAATGTTCCGCAGGGCGGGCACCGTGACGGGAAAGGCTCTCCTCCTGGGCCCCACCACGGGCCCCTCTGGCCAGACCGGACAGGGAGATGTGGCCGGGGAGAGGCGCCGTCACATCTCAAGCAGCCCCGTCAGAATGCAGGCGGTGAGACCCCAAAGAGCCGCTCCTCCGATTGCCCGGGTGCCTGGGTGCTCCCCGAAAGGTGTCTCTCGGGGAGGGCGACCAGACACCTGAAGAGGCAAAGGAGGACACGGGCAACTGGAAAGCGGGAAAAGCTAGCTGTTGAACTTCTGCAACAAAAATTACAGCAAAGAACTGCCAAAAAAAAAAAAAAAGGGCTTAGGCCTATGTGCATATGAAATTACTTTTTCCAGCATCAGAAAGACTGGTTCTTCAATCGCAATATTTTTCCAACAAATCTTTATTTTCAAGAACATACACTAGCGATAATATAGAATTGACAACGACGTGCCAATTTCACCATAGAAATGTATGATGAGTCAAGGCATCTACAGACTCCAGTGATCGTAGTTTGAAGGGGCTGGACTGAAGCCGATTGCTGGAATCAGGAAATAAATAAGGTCAGTCTAGACTGCTGAGTCTGTCAACGGACAAGGAAAAGAATGATGCAGACAGTTTAGGTCACAATACACAAACCTTTGAATGACTACTGTTGTGAAAACAGTCCAATTAAAAAAAAAAAGATACTTAAAAAGCCGGACAATATTTGATTTTAAGGCTATGTCTGTTGGATGGATGACACGAGGACAGAAAGAAGGGCATCTCCTCCTTTTGTTGGACTGGTAAGCCTACTCTTGGGTGGCTGAAGCTGACCTGCGCTGGCCGGAGGGACGGTCAGCTCCTCTTCTCTCTGGCCCTGGTGATGCTTTGGCTGTGCTTTGACTCAGAAGTGGCCAACCAGGTGGCCCATGGCTTGCTCATTTTGGAGGTTGACGTCCTGGCCATCCCACTTGCATGCCACTACAACTCCCATAATCCATGTATAATGCACGGCCCACAGTGACTTTGCAAGGGGACAGCCTGTCCATCTCAGCTGCTAAACCTTTCAGTTGCAAAGTTTTCTAGTGAGCTCACTAGCTGCCATTGCCCTGCTGCCTGTCCACCCCAGGCCATGCCCTTCTCTCCCCGGCAAGGGCGGCCTGCTAATGACGGCCCTATTAGGTTACTGCGCTGGAGAGCATTTGTCATGGAAACTTAGGCGCTCGCCCCATGGGTCTGTAACTGATCCAGGAGCGCCGAAGCTCTGCAAGAGCGCTCCTCCCCAGCTGCTGGTGGTGTTCAGCCTTGCAGGAAGCAGGTAAGCTTTCAAAAGGGGGGGAGGGAGGAGAAAGAAACGCTTGGCAATCTACATCTTTCAAAACTGGACTTTTCTACCTTAGTCTTCTTGAAGTCTACATCTGAGTCATTTTATTGGCAACTGGACATTGGCTTCTTCGGAATTCCTGTCTAGCCTGGCACCCTAGCCAGTCTCGATCCTGCTTAGTTGCTGAGGCCAGCCAGGTACTGCCACCTGCTGAGGTTCTGGCACTTGGCATTACAGGGAGTTCTCATTTAGTGACCACAATTGGGACCAGCAACTTGGTTGTTAAGTGAAGCTAAGTGAAACTGCAACTGTGCTTATGATCTTACTTCAGCTTTCCTTTGGTTTACAGACCTGCGAAGGTCCTAAATGTGAGGATTGGTTGTAAAGTTGCTTTTTCACCAACTTCATACCTGCTAATAGTCGCTAAATGAGGCAGTCACTAAATGAGGACTACCTGTACATCTTTTGAGACATCCACAGAGCAATGCAGTCCTGCAAGAAGCTCTTCTGGGAATATTCTATGTGCAAACTGCTGAACAGTGAGCAGATAAAGATGCCATTTATGGCCTAAGCTCTGGAGGTGCTTCGGGGTTAAATGTGGACCTTGATATCCTGAGGGTAAGATTCCAGCCTCCTGAAGCACCCAGACGATCAGGGTGTTTCAGTTTCAGGCAGGAAGAGGTCTGTAATGTTCCCCTTCAACCTCCTGGATTAGCAGCCATAAGAAGCCAAGTTTGCTCTAAGTGCTTTCTTAGCTGGGCCAACCCAGTAGGGTCCTTCAGTTGAGCTTAGGAACGTGGAGGAAACTTGCTCTCCACCAGTTTTGGATTTCAGTGTTGCCCACGTGAGTCTTGTCCTGGACCACCTGATCTAAACTCTCACATCTCCCTAACTGCTCTAGCAAGGCATCAAAAGAGTGCCAAGGGGATGATGCTTTACATAAGCGAGAGGTACTTTTTGAGCTGTTTGGTTCTGTCCAGAGAAAGGCATTTCTACCCCAGGAGAGCAAGGAGGAAGCCATGAAGAGGCTCTGTTCGCATTCATTATTTTGAAACTCCTGTTGATAATTGGAATGAAATAGCCTTCTTTTCAGCACTTCACAGGCATGGCAAGAGAGTGAGTCAGATTTTGGGCTCCATGAAGGCAGATCTGGCCCAAAGGGTGCAATGCTGCACAGCCCTGCTGAAATGAGCAGAGGTTGCCAAAGAATTTTGTTAGTGTGCTTGCACAACTTCATTTCAGTGGAACATGTGCAGCATGGTTGTTCTGATGGCTTGTTCCCTTTGCTGTTTAGGTGGAGACACCATTTTGCAAAGGAATGGACAGTTCCTCCCATCTGTTTCCTTTTTCTTAGCTGCTTCCTAGCAATGTTTGAGTGTGTGTCTTTGCGTGTGTGTTTATTAGATTGGTATGACCCTAAATCTTTTGAGACTCCCAGTGGCTTGCAAACACCTTTCCAGGGTAAAAATCAACCCCATCCTTATCTCAAACTTCATGATACCAAATAATAATAATAATAACTACCACCACCACCAATAAATAAACATCATAGCAATGTAGCTTTTAGGTTATAATTTTGTAGCTGGTGAACAATCCGTTCCCAAAGACTCCAGAAGAGTTCAGTTTTAGCTCTGTGGTCGTGTTCCTACGAGCGGTGTCAGGGAAGAAGGAGAGACACGGTGTCCTGAAGAGAGCTCCAGCCGCTCATCCTAGCTGTGCTGAAGGACCGGTGGACACTTAAAGGGCCATCCACAGTATGGACCCAAGTTCCACTGAACGTTGAGCCTCTTCCTCTGCAGCTGCCCTAGCTGGACATCGAGGAGCGCTGCCACTGCTCCTCCTCCCAACCTGAAGTAAGCCAGGCTGCAATAATTGGGAAAAATAAATGCAGCTGACTAAATCAACATTCCTAATTAATTGGATGACAGATTTTAAATTAGACTTTGTTTTTGTAATATGAAAATTACTGCTGAATTAATATGGAAGAGGTATCCCTCCCCCGCTTCCTGGTCTCTGAAAAACAAAACTTGCTTCTTGCATGAAAACAATGAGTACTCATGAAGATCTGATTGATGACTTGGGCTATTAAACACATTTATAAATAAAGCAGAATTTGCAGAGCCTTTGCGTTAGGGTGCAGGAGCTCTCAGTTTCAATCCTCGCCGTTGCCTGTTGCAAAAATACAGAGAAGTAGCTAATGGAAAATAACTTTTTCAGCTGATGAGCCTGAAGAACAGCTGAACCAGAATGTCCAAATGTCAGATCAGATACCTTCTTCTAGTTCCTGCACCTTAGTCCTTCAGTTGCACCTTAGTTGGGCATGAGGATCTCCAGCTGCAGAGAAGGGGACAGGTTGACTCTGGTGGCCCTTCCAAATCTAGGGTATTATGATTTGTTTTATTTCTGCCATCCTGTCTGTCCTTTTTCATAAAATAAATGCTTCACACTGACCTTGTTCCAAAGATTTCCATGTAGGACAGTGTTTCTCAACCTTGGCCACTTTAAGCTGTGTGGACTTCAACTCCCAGAATTCCCTAGCCAACATCCCAGAATCCCAGGAATTCTGGGAGTTGAAGTCCACACAGCTTAAAATGGCCAAGGTTGAGAAACACTGATGTAGGAGATGGATCATCTTTTAATCAAGCAGAAGCTCCATTTGCAAGATCATCAA